TATGCAAATATCAAGCGTTTCCTAAAATGCATAAGAAATTGATTTATTAGGAAACAATTGAAACACTAATGAATAGACAATTTGTTTTGTGAAAACAAAAGTGAATTCAAATTAACCGTTATATTCATTGAATAGATAATAATCTAAACTAAATTTTCAATAAAAGCATAATGTAGCGCTAGTTATCCGGTGCTATACAATCAAGCAATAAATAATTCAAATTATAATATGTTTGAAAATCATTTAATTCAAATTGACTGCAATAAATGTATGCATGTGATGCACATACTGTATCGTTGATTTGTAATAAGACACTAAACAATTCGTAGATCGCCCTTAACATGGTCAAACTAGTATAATATGCAATATTATTCATTTACATTACACAATATAATAGTGCAATCATGTAGATGTGCCTTAAGTATATTAATATTAGCTCATACTTAACACACAATTATGCCATTTATATGCATTTAACTAATATTGTATACAGTAGTATTGAGATCAACATTTATATAATATAAATACAAAACTCAATCTAATTGTTATTTCTTCTGTAATATTGTAAACAATTTTTTTGGAGAGATTGTCGTTTTTATATTGTGTAGCACTTAGCATGTATGGATACGACATGTAAATTGCATTGAAATGCATACACAACTCAATTCACGCGAAACAATATTCTTTGTGTGTATAGTACGGTATGGTATCCATCATACAGTATCCACCATTTATATAGAATATTCTGTATATACCATAACGTAGATGGTATAAACCATGAGCATGATTATGTATATAATGTGCAATTGAGGTATTGATCATAGTTTTAATAAAGAGTTGATGCAATTCCGAGTTTCCACTGGGATTCACAGTACAACACAACACGAGTGCCGCACTTTCCCATTCTCTACCAAATTGTTTGTTTGCATTTCATTTTCACTCTATTTGTGCCCCTTTTATGCTATCAATGGCTTTCCAATTGCCATTAAAATCATCACTGATAGCTTTTATAATTAATTTCTACAAATGCTTTAAACATGTGATTTAGAAATATATCTTTTTTGGATTTTTGTAAACAATTAATTCATATCAAGTAAACTTGTACCATAAGTATTACCTATATAGCATACCTACTGGTATTCATAAGTGATATGTATTGCGAAAAAAAATCAATTTTGCAAAATGTTTTGAATGTCAAGGATTTAATTTTAAAAATATAAAACTATTTTAAAATCATAACGGGAAAGATTTTTCGACTCATTTTTAAAAGTTTCTCATACATAACAAAATAAATATGCTTATTGTATGGTTTGTATGCTTACTGTACTGTAATATTCAATTGGATACCCGTGTTACCGGTGTGTAACTGTGCAACTGTTACTCAATTTCATATTTGTTGGCTTTAATACTGAATTATTCAATACTACGGCAAAGAATTACTGATATATTAGTTTAACTTAAAAAATATAATCACGTTTTATCCGAAACACTGTTTTCGTAATTTTGTATTCAAAAGCTATTCTGGAAACCAATGTTAACAATAATAAAACACATAAAATGATAAAAAAAATTAAATCCAATATAATATTTTGCATAGTTTTTGTGAATTAAATACTACAGTGCATTTACATACAAATATGCTACGAATAGAAACGGAATAAAATACAATACAATTTATGTAATAAATTGAGAAATTAAAAAAGCATTGTTTGAGATTAATCATTGTACAAAAACTCAATTATTTGTATGACACTTTTATTTCAATTAAATTCAACAAAAGTATAAATTCATATTTATTTAAACGTAACTTTATAGTAACTTTACTATAATATTTTATGGTTTAATAATAAAAATAATTTTTTATGAATTAACTATTATTTTGTATATTTTTTACCAACAGTTATGACATTTGAGAGGAAGAGGATGTGTATAGAGAAGTAGTGCCAAAAAAATGATGAATTTGTGTAAATCAGGAATCAGTGCGCGGACTAAGTCTTTGCGGGAGAAGTTCAGTCGGAATCGGAGTTATTCGGAGCTATCGTTCAAAGACTCGTCCGCATCGTCCACACCGACCGGAGAGGCGCCGCCCTTCAGATACACCACCAGACACTCCCGCAGCTATGTTCCTATGCTTCCCGAACAGGTAGGCCACGAATGAATTGCATGAATTGCTTTTACACTCATTTTAAAGAATATATAATTATGGAAAATATAATAATTATAAGAATAGGTTCACATTTATATAAGTTATTAACGTAAACAGAAATATTTCCTATATTTACATGCATCTTACATGCTTAAAAGTTAATTTTTCTTATGATATACGAATCGCTAATTTAATTAAAAATAAAATATTTTAGCGATTGTACGTTATAATAATATTTTTTTGTTAGTCAATTCATTTGTTTCTCTAAAACTTTATAAAATTTTAGCCGATTGTAATGAATCTAAGTTTAGCAGTGTAATCATAAAATAGGTATTATTTGATTACTTTTTTTGAAGGATTATCCAACAAAAATATTAGACTTTTATATTCGAAAGGAACTGTAGGTTAACAACAGTCTCACTATTATCAGCCTTTTTTACACAATACAGTATCAAGTTGAGTTAAAAACCTATGAAACAAACAATAATTTAAAACCAATTTATACCACATTTGACTCAATATTTAATTACCGATCGAAAGGGTCGTCAGAATAGCGCGGATGCCATACGAGTGACGAGTATTCCGGGCGAACAGATCTCCAACTCATACAACATATTACCCGAAGAGGCCTATTGTAGTGCACTGGACATCAACAGCGGG